TTTAATTTGGTTCTGATTTCATGAAAAAAAGAGTTCTTAAATTATTTCCTAAAGGAAACTCTGGATTATATTCAACCCATTTAGTTTTGTTCTTTTTTTTTTTTCCCCCTTTTGGCAGTTATGGGTCTCAAACCCAAAGCCCTATTTGGCAAGCACTACCACTGAGCTACATGGTCAGCCACTGTTTACATTTTCAAGTAGCTTTAACTTTTAACTTGGGACATATACAAAAGGAAGCTAGCACTAAGGAAAATAACCAAGTCTACCCCACATAGTATATGTGATTTAAACAAAGTAAGACATTCCAAGGTTAGAGATACATTAGATGTGGAATGCCTAACGAGCCCCTGGAGGTTATTACTTTCTCATACCATGTTTTCCCATTGCCTTCCATACCAAGAGGTATTCTTGAATTAAAAAAAATAACTGAGTACAAAATGCAAGGCACTGTTTTCTAACTCAGCACTTCTGAATGCTTCATACATTACCTTAGGGCAGTCCATTACCCCTTAACTGCTCGTACACCACTATTTGTTCTCTGGATTGCACATAGACAGTGTCAAGAACTGATTAGCAGATTCAGTCTAGGCAAGCTGTAGCTGGCTTTCTGTTCTTGTTGAAACCAAAAGAACACTCCTTTCTTTCTGCATTTTGAAATCTTCAGGTCAACAAGTCAGCGACCATTTCTAAAACATGCAACATATTATGCTTGAGGTGCTGTAGAAGATGGGAAAGACTATCAATGAACAGGGCTACTTCCTGTTTTTCCTATCTAACAAAATGGAGTTATTACAGTATATTGGAAATCATATATTAAGGAATGTTGGTTAACCAGTCACCCTTGCCAGGATCAGATATGAAAAGAAAACAAAAGTTGGCAACAATTCTAGCTCTGATATTTCTCTTCCAGAATTATACTTAATAAGGTTAATCTTTGAAAAATGCATTAATTTTCTTGCCTGATTTAAAGTGAAACTTGGAGACAATTCATAAGTGCAAAACTTAACCAATTCACTTAAGACTGATCTATTGTGACTGCCTCCAGCCTTTTATTTAAAAAAAATTACCAACTTAATTCTTTAAGATTTATTTTTAGGTATTCTTGTATCTCCTCTTGAATAAACTGTCACTAAATATTTTTAGCTTCTAAAAGGAAGTGAAACTGAGGGCTATATGCAGATATGAAAAAACCTATGAAATGGCTTTTGTTTTAAGCAAAAACTAACATTAACAAGTACAGTGTATCTTGTTCTTTCATGGGGCCAGCAAATTGATAGTTTGGGTTTTTTTACGTTACAAAAATAGGATGCAGTAATTACATCTACCAAACTCACAATAGCCTGTTCAATGAGAGTAACACTGTAATTTTTCTTCAAAGACAGTAAAGCCCCTAATTCTATAATATGAGGAAAAATACCTAATGCTTAGACATCACTTACCAGCATAAAACTCACTGATTTCAGTTAGTACCCCCAAAAGGGGGGGGCAGACACAAAATCAATGAATATTGTCACAGAGCTTATGGCTTACAAATACCCTTTCTACACTTCCAATTTATATATTCAAAGACCAGACTAAAAGAAAATATGAATTTTTTAAAATCACAGAATTCTCTTAAAAACTATACAATAAAGTCTTTAAATAGACAGATGGGGCTTAGGCAAAAATATTTTTTTAATATTTTAAAAATATTTTAAAATCTTAGCTTAAATTTTTTTCTCTAATTTATGAATATAACTACTGTCATAAAAGGAAAATGTAAAGTTCAACTGTAATATAAATGCAAAATAAAAATGTACAGTGCAGTTTCACAGAACTGCTTCTCATCAACTGTTTTTCTGAAACTTCAAACCATAAAGTATAACAACACAACATATACAACATTAATGACACTTTTTATATCAACCAATTCAAAGGAATTTCAACCACTCACAAAAGCAGAAAAAGAAAAAGCCAATCCATTATATTTAAAAGGGTTAGGGAGTCAATATTTTTACTACAAATGAAACTTTAACATATGACATTATGCTTACTAACATTATTTTATAGCCTGTGCAATTATAACTACTTCTAAAAGTGCTAAAATTAAGCATGGATTACCCAGCCACTTAATTCTACCTGCCTTGACCTTACTACACCTATTTTGTGTCAAAACAATATTAAACAACATCTGGGCATTTTTACAGTGGTTGCCTTTACATTCTACCCATAGCTCACTAAACTGACTAGAATTACACCCAAAAGATACGGTCTCATAAGACTAGGTAAATTTACTTTCTCAAATTTGTTTTTTTTTTTAAATCTGGAGTAATTTGTGCAACAATGGCCTTCTAAGAATGATTTCTAGTTAAGTTTTAATCCAATCTGCACAGAAACAGGAAACCACAGAGGAGCCTAACTGCTGTAAGAATGATACGTGTACAAGTGCACGCAGAACTGCACAGTCACAAATCTACTTTTGTCTTAACATTGCGAAGCTGCGGTGCCGAGCACAAGTTTTTAGCTTTTTATTTTTTTGCGCGTGGGGGGGGGGAGCAGCTTCCAAAACAGACCGTGATTTTACACACACACACACATACTTACACACACAAACACGCACGCACGCACGCAAAGGTCAACTTACTTTAGCTAATGACTCAAACCCAAGGACTTCTTTCTACTGTCAGATTCATCTTAGAATTAAGACACGTCCATAGTAAACACCAGTGAATTCTACAGGGCACTTTGCGGGGTGGGCAGCATGCTATGCCCGTTCAGATCGTGCGGTTTCGCACGGGCTGATCAGTCTATAAAAACCAACAGATTCTACCTATCACTCGCAAAAAGTCATTTCCTCCCACAGAATCCACCCCCCCCCCCCCCCCCAGCAGCCAAAACAGGGCGAGGCCAGCCAGTCCCGGGTCTACACTACCTGACACAGCAAGCTTCACCCGCACCGGAAGACCGCAGCCCACCGCACGGTGGGCCCCGCCGCTGGGCGTGCGGCCCGGGTCGCCGCACGGAGCGGGAAGCCCCGCACCGTCCCCGCCGCGCCGGAGGCTGCGGGGAGCGCTCACCGCCGCTGGGGAACTGAATGGCTGACACATCCGGTCCCGGCTCCCACACCGCTCCTCCCAACGCAAACTTCAAAGGCCAAACGCAAACTCCACGCCGCAGTCACCGGAGTCGCGGCGGGGCAGTTCAAATTCCCAGACGCACCGGGCGCCCGGCGGGGCGCGGCGAGGAAAAGGGAAAGGAGGGGGCGCGGGGCTCCCCTCGCAGACCGCCCACCCCGCGCTCCGCCGCGCTGACAGGCGTCCCCGCAGCCCCGGGAGCGCGGCCCCGTACCTGCCCGGGCCGCTCCCTTCCCCGGCCTCCGGGTCCCCCACCCGACCTCGGGCTTTCCCACCCCCCCCCCCCGTCCCCTGAGCTTCTCCGACCACCGCCCGCCCCGCGACACCCGCCCCGCGGCCCAGCCCCGCACTGCACCCGGACTCCCCACGGAACCCCGGTATCTCGACTTCTAACACCCGCGCGCCCACGGGACCTCGCAGTGCGCCTCGCACGCCTGTCACATGTCCGCAAACAATAACAAACTCCCGCACGTCCCCGTCCCGTCCCCGGTGCCCCGGCGCCGCCCGACCTGAAGGGCTCCAGCGGCGCCCGGGCGCGGGTCCCGGAGAGCGGCGCCTAGTGCCCGCTTCATCCCGCCGCGCCGCGCCCGGTTCATTCATTGCCCCGGCCCGCCCCAGCCCCGCCGTCCCGGCCGCGCGGCTCACCCGGCGGGGGCCGCTGCAGGAGACGACTCGGCGGCCGGCGCCCGCTTCTCCCCGGGCTCGGCCCCTGCGGGAATCCGGGCGGCCAGGTCCGGCGCGGCCGCCGGCTCCGCTGGGTGGGCGCCGCCGCGGCTCGCGGCTCCGGGGGGCGGCGGCACCGCCACAGGCTGGAAGCCGCTCCCGCCCGACGCCGCGTCCGCGGGCTCCGGGGACGGAGAGGTGGAGGAGCAGGGCGGCGAGGCGGCGCCGAGGAGCGGCGGCTCCGGCAGCTGGTCCAGCTCCACGCTCCGCACTTTGCGCATCTGGCGCCGCCGCCAGTCCGCCCGCTCGCGGCCCGCGCTGCCCGCCTCCCGCAGCAGTCCCGCGGCTGCCGCGGGCGCACTGCTCGCCTTAAGGGCGCCGCCGCCACCGCCCGCCTCCGGGCTCGCTGCCCTGGCGCCCGGGAATCCCGACGACGAGGCGCGATTCCCCGCCGCCGCCGCCATTTTCTCTCGCGGGCCACATTCGCTCGGCCCCTGCGAGGGAGGGAGGGGGCGGGGAGAGCGCAGGGGGCGGGCGGACCGGCGGGCGGGCGGGCGGGCGCTGCGCCGTCGGCGTAGGACCGCCTGCGCTAACTGCGTGAGCGCGGCCGCTGGGGCCGGGGCTGGGCGGACCCCGGGCGGGCGGCGGCGCAGGTGGGAGGGGGCGGGCCGCGCTCGGGGCTGCGCGGGCGGAAGGGTCGCGAGGTGAGCGCCGCCGGGCTCCGCTCGGCCGTGTTCTCCGGTATCCCGGGCCGTACTGGCGAGAAGGAGGCGCCTGAGCGGCCGCGGGGTGCAACTTCCCCTCGGCGGCAGTCTGGGCCGGGCTCGGCGGGAGCTGGCCCCGTGGGCGGAGGAAGTGATCGGTGGGAACTCTGGAGTGCGGTGCACCGCGGGGACGCACGCCCCGGTCTCCTCGGCAGGGCGGCGGGGTCCCCGCGCGAGCCAGCCTCCTACCCCTACTCGCGAGCTCCGCTCCCGGCGCGCAGGTGGCGCCCGGAGACGGCCGCCCGCCGCCCCGCGGGGCCCGGTTCAGAAAGCGTTTCCTCCCTTCGGCCCCGCACGCTTGCGTGGGTTTCTGTGAGACCTGGCCCGAGCCCCTGCCCCATCCTACCGGCGCGAGAGGCGCAGAGGCGGGGGTTCTGGGGACCCGGCCCCCCCACCCCGCACTTCCAGCTGTCCAGGGAAGCGCCGGCGAGTACCGAACCCCTGGCGTCTGGGGCTGGAGCCAGGCTGTGCCAGGAAGTGCAGGATCGCCTCGTGGGTGGCCAGCCTGGGGCCCGGCCCTCCCCGGATCCGATGCTCCTCTCCGCACGTCCCGGTTCCCGGCAGAGTCAGGTGACACGCCGGATTCCCCGTCCCCTGCCCCCGCAGCACCCAAGGTGACCCTTCGGAGCACTTTCCCCAGAGTCTCTGAGAGGAGAGATGCTCGGGCAGGAAGTCGGGACTGAGAGGTTCAGGACGTGGCTCTCTTGTTCATTCAAGTAGTGTTGCGTTTAGTTCTTTTTTTTTTTTTTTTTTTCTTCCTCTATAAAGTTTGTCTGACATGGGCATCTTCTCAGAACCCATGAGCAGTCTCTGGATTGAGATGTGGAACGTGGGGGGGGGGGGGGGGGGGGGGAGGGAGGTAGAAGGGTTTTTCTTCCCGAGCAGGAAGAGAGAGCTCTTGTCATTTCTGTGCTTAAGTAAAAGCCTCAACTATCTGCAGCACAGTTGTTTTGACTTCTCGAGATGAGATCACATGAATGTTAACTGAAGAGCAAGGTGCTTTCAGAGAGGTTTTTAAAGAGCCGTGATTTCGAAGGAGCCCAGTGTTTTGAATTGCACTGATACCTGCTATGAGTCTTAGCACAAACTTTTTTGGAAGTTTAGATAAATCTTAAAAAATGTTAGGTCTCCATTTAGGCTGAAATTATATGCTCTTTTAATGCAGTCAAGCATATCATCCAAACCAAACAGTAATTATTTCCCAGGTCTTCCCAGATTGCCACACCCACCAAATGCTAAATTGAAAAGGGTAAACTTTCCTGGTTTCTACTTGGTTCTAAAAACCAAACCAAACCACAACAACGAAAAGCCCACCCACTTTTCAGTTTGCACACTCATACTCACCACACTTAGTTACCTGTAACCAAGTCTGGCCAAAGAAGCAAGTTAAAAAAGAGTTTAGCAAAAGTTTGACATGCAAATGTGTATGTTCTTGTGTATATTTGTGTGTGCCCGTATTTAGCCTTAAACTCAGAGCCTAACACTCTCTCTTAGCTTTTTTGCTCAAGGCTGGTGCTCTACCACTTACACTATACCTCAACTTCCAGCTTTTTTCTACTTAATTGGAGATAAAAATCTCATGGCCTTTTCTGCCCAGACTGGCTTTTGAACCAAGAACTTCAGATCTCAGCTTTCAGGGTAGCTAGGACTACAGATGCAAGCCACTGTCAGTGTCCAACTAAAAGTCTGACTTTTATGTCTATTTTGCATTGATTGAAAGTGGGGACCCAGATGAGAGGGATATTAAATTCAGCATTATCAAGTAGCTACAATTCTCTGACCTCTATCACTCAGATACCACCATAGTAACTGAAAAATTGAACCCATGTTAGATAAGCACTTTTCCTCTTTAACCACACTTCTAGCCCAATTTTCTTGAGATAATCAAATGACCTGATTAACTAAAAAGGGCATCCTCCCTCTGCTACCTTGTTAATCAAAAATCTTTGATGATCAATCAATGATATGTTTTTCTACCTGACTTTGAGACTTAATCATGATTAAGCCCACATCTCTAGTTTTGGTGCTGTTTGGCTTTTACTTTTTATTGATGTACAATGATGTATGTTAAATATCAGGCTACTGAATTGCCTTAATTTGATTTATTCAATGACATAAGAAGTATCTTATTTCATCCAGTGTTGCTTCTAAACTGAAAACTCCAATGATTATTTCCAATCTCTTTATGTCCATTATCACTTAGATATAAACCCTGAAGTGATTTCCCGTACACTGTGACAATTTCAGAAACCTTTATGCCAGTGCTTTTCCAGATCACCTTTCCTCACCCAGCGCTCTTGGGAATTGCTCAAGTCACACCTGAGTTACCACCTCAAATTCATTTATAGGATCCATTTAAACACTGGGCATTTGCTTGTTGTACACAGATACTATAGACACTAAAATGAAAAGACATACACTGGCAGGCATTTCAGCTTGTATACTATTCAGTATATATATATTCAGACACTTATTCAGTACCTCTTGCATGCATGCAGGAAATCTTTGCCCTCTTAGGGGATATCTTTGTTCTTATTCATTTTTACAAAAATATTTTCATCTATAAATATTTTGATGGTGAGTATGTATGGGGCTGATTCGGATAGAATTTCAGATCCATGAGCTTGTGAATGTGTTCACAACATAGCTCTGTGAACTCTTAGGTAGACATAAAGGAATTAGAATGTAACCTTGACAATAGTCCAAAAACTGGTACTCTCCTAGGCTTACAACTATTTCTTACGTAATATTTGCTGAAGAACTGGAGCTAGACTTTGGTTTCTCCATGCTATTTCTAAACACTATACTTTCCAGATGTTTTCAGATGTTGTAAGTCAGGAAATCTTGTCATCTGTGGTATAATTGGTCCCCCAAGTCTTCTACCTAGCTTCTAGTTTACTGGTTGCGGGCACTGGCTGTAGTTGGTGTGCAAGACACAGAGGCATACCACAGCATAAGAAATGCATGGCCAGTGCTGGTGTGTACCTGCATAATTCTGGTCCCACTGGGTGAATTAAGGGCCCAAAGAATCTATTGAACTTGTTGACAAACTTGAAAAGACATAACCTACTCAATTAGATGTAATTCAATTATTAAAATGCTGAAACATGAGTGCAAAAAATTTTTCTAAATGAAAATGAAGCCAAATGCTTTGAAAGATTGAACAAAAGTGAGAGATGGAAAAACATGTCTGACAAACTAGTTGTTGATAAGACCATTTGATCAAGAAGAAAATCTAGAAGAATTTACTTTACAAATATCTGAAAATACTTACTTTGCTTTAAAGAGACTGAAACTAAACATTGTAGACAAGGTGAAATTTGAAAAAGACTCATAGAATTATAAAGAGTGAACCACACTATAAAGATCAAGGTCCTATAGCTAAGTCCCAGCCAAAAATCTCACATAAATCAAAACAAAACTCTGTTATTGCTAGGTTCCAGTAGCTCACAGTAGTTTATGCCTTTAATCCTAGCTACTCAGGAGGCTGAGATCTGAGGAACAAGGTTTGAAGCCTGCCCAGGCAGACAAATTACTGCAATTCTTAATCTCCAACTAACCAGCAATAAGCTGGAACTAGAGGTGTGGCACAAATGGCAGGGTGCCAGCCAAAAATGAAAAGCCAACTGAAAATATGAGGGCCTGAAACATAAAACCCTGTTATTAATTTACAAAATAGTTAAGATATATATGTATATATATTACAAAATATATATTACAAAATAGTTAAGGTATATATGTATATAATTCCCTTTTATTAATTAATTATCTAAGTTTTATTGTTATTATTAAGGTGTTTACAGAGGGGTTACCATTTCATAAGTCAGGTTATGAGCACATTTCTTTCTTTTTTAGATAATGTTACCCCTTCCTTTGATTTCTTCCAGTTTCCCCCTCCCATCCCTGTATCTAAATTTTTGTTATGAATTCGCATGTACAGTACTTAAGACAAGAAACTAAACTTTGTTACAAAAATACTGAAAATGAGTCAAATTGAGTTTTTATACTTAAAACTACAACTTATTATATTTAATCCATCTCAGAATTAGCAAAAAATGATCCCACTTTACAAACATGCTCTGATTCTTTAAAATGGTCACTAACTTTTTTGTTGTTTTTTATTTTTCAGATATGGTCCCGGACAGTCTGGAATCACAGCATTCTGTCAAACACACACCACCACTTCTGACTTATTTGCTACAATGGGGTTTTGCTAACTTTGGTCTGGACTGGCCTCTGACTGCATTTCTTCCAAACACTGCCTCCTAAGTAGCTAGAACTACAGGGATTAGCCACCATGCTTGGCTATATAATTATTTTTCTAGCTTTTATTTCAACGAAATTGCTAATTGTGTTGCTTTTAACTAAGGTTTTTACATAATTTGTGTCTGATCATGTAAAGCAATTCAACTCTGCTTTCTAGAGGGCAAAAATCAATTTTAAATTCCAAAGTAATGAATATCAAAATCTCAAAACTTAACTAAGTACGTAGAAAACCTTAAAAACTTGGAAATTTAATGAAATGTTAGAAAACATTAAACTAAAATGATTTTCACTTTTAATAATCTTGTCACCTTGGGATAGCAACACACTTCATATGTTTTGCCCAAATCAACATAAATGCAAATTTAAGTCATATGTATCTTTGAATCTTACCAAATGTCTCTTAGTATTTGTGTGCCAGTGTAAAAGTTGCCCTGATATCTACATAGTTGGGGGGCAGGAAATGGATCACAAAAGAGAAATTGAGAGCATGGGTACTAAGATGACCAGAACATATTATGCTCAGGAATCCATTTTTGAAATTTGAAGGAGAAGCTGAGACAGGTTAGTACATTTATTTCTTCTTTGAATACTTTTGGCCAAAAGATTCTACCTTGATCCCAAGGCGACATTGCTCCCCAACTTGCAAACCTTGACTATTCGAGGCCACAACAAGACATGGGAAGAGGTGTTCTTGGGGTCTGTAGGGTATTGCTCCCAGAGCAGATGTTTAGGCAGATGTAGGCCATGCTGAGCCACCACTGTGAACCAGCACTGACTTACACAGCAGTTGAGTGTCCTTCAATCAATTCATGTTTCCAACCTGTGACACACAGTGTACTGGAAAGTAGAAAGCCAAGGGCACAGTCTTCTCCTGCCCAGGACTTAGAGAGGTGCTTGCCAGGGGCTAGACATTCTAGGTGCCAGGAAAAGAGAAAATGAGACCATGAGACCTTTCCTTAGCTAACATCTAAAGCTAACCTGGGTCAGAACTGCTTGTGTCTGCCTCTTGTCTTTTCTTTTCTGTTCAGTTCTTTTCTGTTCTTCTCTTTTCTTTCTTCTCTCTCTCTCTCTCTCTCTCTCTCTCTCTCTCTCTCTCTCTCTCTCTCTCTCATGAGGGAGAAATTGGGGTTCAGGGGACACTGAGGGCCATAAAGTCAAAGGCATTGAACATTTGAAATAGAAGCCCCTGAAAAGAAAAGAAAATGTTTCCAGTACACAGAAATAAGTGTTCATGAATGTTAATTTATTGAATCTACATATAATGCTAAGAAGTAGGTAGTATAATTATCAAGGTCCTACAGATGAAGAAAGTGAAGCACAGGGAAGCTAATTCCCAGGGTGGTTCAGAACTCAAAGGTGCTCACCATTATGTCAGACAGGCGAGACTCGAACTTAGCTATTCAGATTCCCCAGCGCTTTCTTTTAACCTCAAATTACAGTGTGTATTTCTTATTATTAATACTAATAAATGTTACTGTTTTCTTTCCTGTAGTTAGTTGTTATTCTTTTGTTAGTGAACATAAAATAGTCATGAATCTCTGTCTCAATGTAATTTTTCTTATTTTTTTCTTCCCTTTTTTGGTCTGAGATCTGGACTCAAACATGGTACTTGATTCTTTCACTTCACTTTCTAGTGCTGTACCAACTAAGCCTTGCCTCCAACTCCTTAATGTAGTTTTTTAAAATTTCTTAATGTCATAAATAAATTAATTTCTTTCTTTCTTTCTTTTTTTTTTTTTTGGTTGGTCGTGGGGCTTGAACTCTGGGCCTGGGCACTGTCCCTGAGCTCTTCAGCTCAAGGCTAGTGCTCTATCACTTGAGCCACAGCACCACTTCAGATTTTCTGGTGGTTAATTGGAGATAAAAGTCTCACAGACTGTGATCCTCTGAATAGTTAAGATTACAGGCAAAAGCCACCAGTACCCGGCTTCATAAATTTCTTAAGTAAAAAATTTGAGATCATTATCTTATATTTTATCACATGCTCATATTTATATACAAATTTTGTGTTTATAAGTGCTAATGGCAGAGACTAAACAGCTACACTATCAACTACATTCCATAGTCAGTCACTGCTCCCTGTACTAAGTCCACAAGGAAGTCGTAAATGCCGTCCACATATGGACTCTGTGTTCAGAAAAGTTGGGACTGTGCAGCTTGGCACATGCCGGGTATGTACAGAGCTAAACTGAGCCTCATTGAGTTCTAGGCCAAATCAGCCAGGAGAAAGTTGTTCATTGCTGTTTAGATTTTGTTGCTGGTGAAGAACAAGCTCCCCAGGGTTTCAAAACCAGAACTCATGGGCTGTGTCTCTACAGTTCAACAGAATCTCACTCTCCAGAGCAAGTATGTATAGCCAGGGAAGGAACCTCTGTGTTAAACCAATTGGTGCTCATGAAGAAGCTAGACTGTTTCAGGATACTTAGGGCTGATGAGGAATTTAAGTCCACCCACATCTGCATGTCGAACATCTGTCTCCAGGCCTAAGAAGTTGGAATACCCCTCTGTACCTATAGGGCTGAACAGAGGGGTCCTGTAGGAAGTCATTCTGTGTGTGTGTCCAGTGATTGTAAGATTGGCTCAGTGTTCACGGTGCTAAGTTGACGGTTTTCAATTTGAGTCTGGACATTTAAAGCTGAAAAGAACTCTTCAAAACCAAAATCTCTTCTGGGATTCTGGGCTTGAAGCCTGGGTGTCAGGTCCAGGATTTGGGTCAGGAAAAAAATTGTGGTTCTAAATGCACAGCACCTGTCTGGAGCCTCAGTGCATACCTATCCCACAGGCTGGCTTGAAGAATTGGCTGTGGGCACAAAGACAGGCGTCAAAGGAAATGGCATGGTCAGACGTTTAACCAGAGTCACTTTGGGCTTCAGTAAAAGCAACTTCTGAAGATCTCTCAGAGGTGCTGTGACACTCTGCCTCCTGGCTACCAGTCTTTCTTTTTCTTTTTTCTTTTTGAAGTTTTGAGTTCTTGAGTGTTGGTTAAGAAATTGTTTATGTTATAGTTGTTTAATGATCAATGTTCTTATTGGGCATTTCTGGCTTGGTAGGTAGTTTTCCTCTCTCTCTTTCCCTCCCTTCCTCCTTCCCTCCCTCCCTCCCTCCCTCCCTCCTTCCCTTCCTTCCCTCCCTCCCTCCCTCCAGGTGGATACCTGTCCTCTGTAGTGATGGTGGCCATTTGGGTAGAGATGAGCCAAATGCTGTTCAGCTGGCCCAGGGGCAGCCACTCACACCCTGGCAGGTTTTCCCACAATCCTCTGCATGTCTCTTCAAGTCCCACTCAGTGCTATAGGAATTGTCCCACTTATGCTTCTTCTATGCACACCATTTCCATAAAGTGCTGTTTTACAAGAGAAGACTGAGAAAATGGCTGGTCGGGGGCTCCAGGACATCCTTCAGTTGGACGGCAGTGGAATTTCGGTATGGTTTTCAAATCTTTTCTTACTGTTCAATTTACTATGCCATCTTGCAGTTGGTGGCTCTTGATCAGGTGCCTGTGGGAATGCTGGGCTTTTGGCAGGATCTTGCCACCATGGATCTTAGGCAGCTGGTCCTCTCAGGCAGGGCCTTTGGGTTCCTCAAGAGCCCAAGGCACTGGGGCTGGCTGAGGAGCCCACTGCTGAGTTTGAAACTGGAATGGCTCCTGCATAGCTGTCAGCCCTCTGGTAAACATTATACTACAAGGTCTCCACCAATATACCGCTGTGAATGAGTATTACTTTTTTTTTTTTTGCCAGTTCTGGGGCTTGAAGTCAGGGCTTGGGCACCATCCCTGAGATTCTTTTTTGCACAAGTCTGGCACTCTGCCACTCCACCACAGCACTATTTCTAGCTTTTTCTATGTATATGGTATTGAAGAATAAAACCCAGGGCTTCATGCATGCCAGGCAAGCACTCTACCACTAAGCCACCTTCCCAGCCAAGTATTTTTAATTTTGGTGGTTGTGGGCCTTGAACTCAGGGCTTGAGTGCTGTCCCTGAGTTCTTTTGCTCAAGGCCAGCACTCTACCACTCTGAGCCACAGCTCCACTTCTGGTTTTTGAGTGGTTAATTGGGGACTTTTCTGCCTGGGCTGTCTTTGAGCTGTGATCCTCAGATCTCAGCCTCCTGAGTAGCTAGGATTATAGGTGTGAGCTACGGCACCCTGTATGACTATTAATTTTTTTAAAACCTAAAGTTCTAAGTTGTACCAAACAAAAAAAATTATTGATCAGACACAAAAATTTACCTTTTTATTATGTACCCAAATTATTTACACAAAGAAATGAAATATAGTATCTTAGCTTAAATAGCCCATGGAAATGTATGGTAGAGACAGTTAGCATCCCACAAAATATCCTCTCTACCCATTACCAGAAACTTGTAACTGGGAAGCAACTGCTTAGCCAAGGACTGGGCATCCCAGAATGCCTTGCAGCTAGGTATGCAAACCATGGCTTTAAAGAGATGGCTCAGGTGGATACAAATGGCATCAATGGCCTGGGGATAGCAAAGTAACAGAAAATTGGGTCCCTGAACATCTGGATGGAGGACAGCCACCTGGACAACTTCAGCTTTTATTGTTCTGACCCATTATATGTTTAGATTTACTTGGCATGACTATTTACCATAAGTAATTCAATATAATTTTCTTTATTCTCTGATCTGTGAGACTTCAAGCTTTCTATGACAGACACAGAGACAAAAGGACTTTGGTGTCCACTGGGGCTGTGTTTGAATCTCGGCTCTTTCAAAACTAGCTGTGTGACCTTTGGCAAGCCATATACCTTTAGTCATTATTAATATTGGGAGGTAATAGTCACTGTTATAACTTCATACTTTCCTCTTACCCTTACCATGACTTTGCTGCATACAAACCAGATTTCCATGGTGGTATCTATATCTTGTGGCCTGTGAAGCTGGCTTTGCTGACTGTATGACAGACCAGTGTTAGAAGACACAGAGACACAGTGGTACACTGCAGATGTCTGTTCCAACTTATGAGAACTTAGAGTACTCACTTTCCCCAAACTCCAAGTTCAGTGATGTCACTCTAGTAGCTTGAAATTAGCAGTGAGAATATTTATACCTCAGAAATTGGCAAATACACCGGGAATCAGACCATTTCCACTCTCTCCCAGAACTGGTTGTTAAACATTGACCAACGTAATATATACTAGCTGGATCACCCGTTGGGTGTGTTGTTCAATGGTTTCCAGATTTTTTTTCTAGCAGGATTAAGCTCCTAAGGATTAAGCCTTGACTGGCTGTCTTTCCCATCTCCATTCCTGTCAGAGTTTCTCTCACCTCCTAAATCCTGGAATCCTATTTCAAATTCTGCATTTAGGGGAACTCAAAGTAGGAGAGGAGACAGCAATAAATAAAGTTGAAACTGTCAGAAGTCATAGGGCTGGGATGTAGCTCAGTGGCAAAGTGCTTGCCGAGCAAGTGCAACATCCTGGGTTTGATCCCCAGTACCAAAAAAGAAAAGACAAAAAAATACAGTTAAAAAAAACCCTAAAAATAAAAAAACCTAAACAAAAAAAGTCATAAACATGTAGTAGGTACTCTACAAATGCTAGATCTTTACTATGTTGAAATATACATATATATGTATATATGTAACTCAAATATAACAGCAGTCATAATAGAATAATTAGCCATAGTAGGAATTAAAATTGTGCATTTAAAATTCAATTGTCCTAAACATATGAATCATCTTGAAGGACATTTATTTTTCACTATTTTAATTAGCTTTATCATAAATAAAAACTATCTTATATATATACATTTTAGAAAAATAAATGCAAATAGATAAAGTGAGCTCTGGTACATAGTTTTATAAGACAGATCTTCAGGATCTCTTTGCGGGGAAATAAAAACGAAATGTTTTGAAGTCTTTGACATGTTTTGTTTATTGGTCTTGATTTTACATGATCAACTTTTGGTTTTGTATGGCCATTTCATTTAGATACTTGCATTGACCTCATATTTTATGTCATCTCTGAACAGTGACCCATACCAGCGTCCTGATATTCTAGAAATACATGACAGGTTTGGACTCTAGAAAGTTCCCTCAGAAGCTCACCATTACAGAGTTATTTACATAGATAGAACCTCAATGGCTATATTTTCTAGTGCAATTGTAACAATTCTTATATTTCACTGGTAAATGAAGTGTGCTATAGTTTCTAAGGCTGATGTGTTAAAGGCTTTTTCCCACTCTTGCCAGTGGGAGGTAGAGCTACTGGAAAGAAGTTAGGTCACTGAGGTCATGCCCTTGAAAGGGATATTGGGACTCTAGCCATTCCCTTTACTTAACTTCCCTGATGCCATAAGGTGAACAGGCCTCCTCCATCAGTAACCCATGCCATTTTGATTCTTTCAGGGATTTTGTCACCGCAATAGAAAGATGATTGTCCCAAAGTCTTATGGGCACCAGTTCTTCTGGAAGAAGAGAAGGGTCAGCTTCTGTGACTGCTTGGCTGGCCCCTTTCTGTGGCCACAGACTC